AATTAAAGAATAATAAATTTACTTGTAATTGTGACATGAATTTTCATTTGATAATTGGAATGTTGGTCAATGGCTAAACTCTTGTTAGTCTTGCTATACAAACATTATATTATGTTATAAATTTTTTTATAAGATCTTGCTGACAATATTCTCCATATTTTCTTTTGACTAGCATGTTAAGTAACTGTTGCATGTATTTTGCAAAGTTATCATACATATTTTCCACAACTAATACAGAAATTTTGATCATGATTTTTTCATTATTTTTTTTATTTTGTGTTCAAATATGAAGTACAATATAAGAATCACTGATTTTTTGTAACTTAAATTTATTTTTGACCCAGTAACAGAAATTAGATGTATACAATTTAGTATTTGTAGGGTCAAGAAGAATTTCCTTGATTTTTTGTAGTTTTTCTTGATCGATTAGTGCTTTCTCTTTCTTATTTGGTGCTAAACTTCCAATATATCGTTTAATCAGATCATCGAAGGTTTGCCGTGAAATAAACGAATACTCCATAATAGTTTAATTCAATACAAAATACATATTCATTGCAAGAAAAAAGGTTAAAACGAAATAATTTTATTATTATATATTTTATTACATTTGTTATACGCATTTGGGTCTGACGCATCTTGGATTGAAATTTTGATCTAACGCAACTCGATTTCAAATCGATGCCTCTTCGAATCTGACGCACGACATATCCATCACAATTGAACACATGCGAGAGGGATTCATTTTGGATCGGGCACTTTCTCTGCTGAAGTTTTGCAGTGAGTAGGGCTGTAAAATTTCAGTAATTTTATGTAATTTTACGTATTTTTGCGTAAGTTTTGGTAAATTGAAATTTCATGTAATTGTAATTTTGAACACATGACATTTAGTTTTTTGAGATCAAACTTTCGGTGATTTAGGAGTTACAATAATACTGGCCGAAACTTTTGTAAATCTGGTACTTTATGTATAGCGTATGGAAAGTACATAATTTTGATTTTCTGTAACTTATGCAAAATTACATGTAACGTAAAATTACATGTAATGTAAAATTACATGTAACGTAAAATTACATGTAATGTAAAATTGCATGTAACGTAAAATTGCATGTAACGTAAAATTACATGTAGCGTAAAATTATATGTAACGTAAAATTGTGATTTATGTAACACAACCCTAGTAGTGAGCCGACTTAAAAAAGCTCAGGATTATAATCTGACTCATTTTTAGCTCGCAAGCCCAGTGGCATAAGCTACTGGGTTTGCGAGCACAGTGAGTCCCAAAACGAGCCGGACTCACTGCGGAACACTATAAGAAAATACAATTAAGAAAAACACAATAAGCAATACGATAAACAATACAATACAGTGAATATTAATTTCTTTATATGGCTAAAATTGTAATTTTGAAACTCGTTTATTATTACGTATTATTGATATTATTAATAATAATATTATTGTGGCGCGCCAAGCCGGTACAAATTTTCCGGATGCATGAGCGTGAGGCACAATGACATAAAATTATTCACAAACCCGAAAAACCACATTCGCCACATTAGCTAAATTTAGAAAGATGGCATGCAAGAGCCGTATTTTCCGAAATTCCAAATATATCAATATCACACTTCACACATTTTAAGTCCCAAAAAAACACGAAAATACTGGTTAACACGTGTTCAATATAATTCTTTTTAAAATAAATAAAAGTATTAGGGGATTTCAGAGTTAACGTGCGAGTATCTAATTTTGACAGAAATACATGGCGTATTATTTTTGATTGAGCGATGTATCAAGTTTATTTCATTTTCAGAAAAGTCTATTTATTCGTTAAATGAGGATCTTAAGACACTCCATTCCATTTTCCGATTTAAAAATTTTTGAAATACAAATAAGATTTTTCTTTCAAACTCTCATTTAATTTAAATGCGCCACTTATTTGTTAAATTTGATAACCCCTTATTACCGATTACCGTAGAATACTACAATCAGTACCCCTAGAATAGTACCCCACGCATCATGCGAAAAGTTTGACCCATATCTGGGGTATAAATTAGGCATGCAAATCTAGTAAACGAATC